GTTTAAGTGTCTTCTCATTTTGTATTTTGTTTTAGTTTAATTCCTGGGTTGATACTTATAAATTGCCTATGGTGTGTAGCTTTATTACTAGTATTTAGAACCTTTAGGAAATGACTACTTCTCAGAGGTGTCTTCCAGGTGTAGCCAGTTTTGGGGTTTTGAGTCTGTTGCAATATCCTGAAAGGAACAAACTGTAGAAGAGAAATTGTTCTTTTTAAAAAATTGTTCTTTGAAACTGCCTCGCTGTGTAACTGCTTCATGGCTTTGTAATTACTTTCTTGACCCCTGTAACCAAAACAGCATGACCGAACATACAGGATGCCTGATTGTACCACTGAACCAAGCTTCAAGAACCGATGATCATTAATCTACCCTTGTAATTGATGATCTAACCTTGTTAGCTAATCAGAAGAACTGCCAGGCTGTTCTGTCTTACCTTTGTACCTCCTGCTTGTGCATCATATAAAAGCCCTAGACCGCAGGAGATTGGGGCCTATTCTGGGAATGACTGCCATCAGTGCCTGTTGATGTAAATAAATCTGCCTCCAAATCCTGGGTGTCATTTTGGTGTTTCTGCTTGCTGTTGCAATCCTACCTCTTGAATTTACTGGAGATGAGAAATTGCTGCCTACTTGGCCTAGCCCCTTGTTCTTTGGCCCTGGCCTACAGTATTTTTAGTGACACTTAGGCAGTCTCAGTCTTGGTATAGCAGGAAGAACAACTGTTAGAACAATTATGTCACATTAGCTAAAGTGGTACAATCAGCAATAACAATAGCATCAAACACAACCAAACTGAGGCAACTTTTAATTTGCCACCTTTAACTGTATAAACTATATTTGCAGTTATATAACAAAATCTAAAATAAACTAGAAAATTGCATACAGTAAATAAGCCCTCAATATGGCAATTTTACCCTTAGGGGAGAAAATGTAAAAGGGATTAGGGAGGAAATGGAGAAATAGAAGAAAAGAAAGAGATTAGAGGCAAGGCTGCAGGACAGAGGAAGATCACACAAATTTTGGGAAACTGGTGCAAAAGGCAGAAGGGAGAGAGAGAAGGAAGAAATAAAAACGAGAGCAGAGCAGAACAACAACAACAAAAAAACTAGAAACCATGTTCACACTCATAAAACCAAGGACAAACAATGAGGAAAAAAATGAACAAAAATAAGAGAGAAAGAAAATGAAGAAAAAAGGAAAGAAAATAATAATAAGAAAAAAAAATGTTCACTTCAAGGTGTGTCTCTGATGTCACTGGTAGACAACATGGGCAGACAGAGTCCAGATCAGCACCAATCAATCCCAGCAAGCCAGTGGCAGCTCTACACGGGGTAGTGGATAATCCCAGGGAGCCTGCATCCCTATTTCTATTGAAGTTTAGGTTGTCCTCTGGCTGCACGGCTGGGACCAGATCCACCCAGTCTGCAGCAATCCCCTTGCCTCCTGAGGGCTTGAACTGGGCTGGGAGCCACTAGATAGAGCCAGCAGCAGTTCCAAGTCCTGAGTTTAGTTGGCCTCTCTCCAAGATAGCTCCCAGCCAATTGCCCTCTCTTGGGGGACATCTGAGTGGGAACAACTCATCAGCTACTGCAGTCCACTGTGTCCACCACTCTGTTCTTCTGGTGCACTTCTCTGTGGAGGCCTCTGGTACTGCCAGTAGTAACAGCATCTGCAGGTTCAAGCTGCTTCTCCCATGCTGTGAGTCAGGACTCAGTGCTGCCTGCTTCTTCCTTCTTCTTTGTTGAAGTTTCTCTCTTTTCTCTCCTTGTGGGCTTCAAGTCTCTCTTCAGATCCTTCCTTGGTCCTGGGGACCCATTTCCCTCCTTCTTTTCTTCCTCACATTGCTATATTCCAGCATCTATACACCAAATCTTAGAGAGGCTCTTTCTATGGAGCTCACCACTCTGCTATCTTCCCAGAAGCTGTAATTTCTTTGTACACCAGTTGTGTGCTACTTCCTTTCTTATTTCTCATCATTGAATGAAATAGGTTTTCTTGTCCAGCTGTTTGTAAGTTTCCAATATGGGTAAAGAACAAGGGTGAGAAGAAGCTATTTTTCATTAAGTATAGACTAACTTCTGTGTTGCTCCTTGAACAGAATGCTTCCTGTAAATATGGTTTATCTTGAGTTTCTTTGTGTGAGCTCATTTGTAGTCTTTCTCAATCAAACTGGGTACATGTGGCTTTTGTTGTTAATTGGCTTGTTCTAGTTCTTATGGCCCCATTTGCAGAGGATAATATTTTGCTAAGTCAAGGTGTGTTCCTTACCTTCAGGCACTACATATTTGCTAGTACTGTCTAGATGAGCCTTTTTGCTGCCGAGATCTGGCTCTACATTATTTTGCTGTCTTCTTTCTCCCACATAATTTCCATTCAATTTCAGTAGCTTTTGCCACCTCTTACAGATGTGTTGGAATCTGGTCAGTACCCTTGCTTGCAAAGTAATAAATGGGTTTGTGGATTATTAGGGGTGGAGGCCGTGTTTTTGTACTCTTAGCTCTTGAATGTTTTGTAAAGATAAAAAGAGAAAATAATATGCCTAGTCATGTTCATGAAGTCCTTAGAATTAGAAGTCCTGTCTAATTCATTACAATAGCAATGTACACATTTTAGGGATAAAAAGAAATCCATACTCTTGCAGCCTGTATCATCTCCTAGTGCTCTTCAAAATCACAGATTTTTAGAATAATATAAAAAGAGTCCTTCAAAATCACTGAATGAACTATGTTTATACAAATGCACTAATATATAGCCTACCAAAACTAGGGATGACTTCTATCTTTTTGGAAAATTCAGGACTTTCAGAGATAGACACCAAATTTATATTGTCCATTTACTCCTTATATATTTTATTTATTTATTTATTTTTTTTTTTGGTTTTTCTCCGGTACCGGGAACCGAACTCATGACCTTGCGCTTGCCAGGCAGGCGCTTTTGCCGCTGAGCTAAATCCCCAGCCCCCATTTACTCCTTATAAAATACCAGGCAAAGCAATATTCATATATTTCCTACACAGCTTCTAGTACTTTCATCAAGGTCATGTTCTAGAATTATCAGAATCATGTGGACCATGAGTTGGAATTATTCGCAATGAATTGGGGCAGGTGCCTGTTCCTTGAAGCCAAAGGAGCCTAGTTATTGGGCAAGAATTATTTCACACAGGGATAATGTAAGAATATTTCTGGTCCTGAAAAGTATCAACCTGAAATAGTAACAAGTTGATTAAATTTGACTATGTCAATGACAAGACAGTGATATAATGACTAAACAATTCTTGAGATGTCTGGACTAGATTCAGGCACTATATAGTTGAATTTTTAGTCCAAATTTTTATTAGTGATTTTATGATTGGTGCCAGCTTGGATTTTAGCAGTTTCATGAAAGAAAGCCATGCAGAATGAAATTAAGGACAATTTTGTGATTCATATGCCATTTCTCAAATTCGAATTAAATTCTTCTTTTCTGATAGCATAGATCCCTTTCAGGTCCATTAAATTAAATTCCTTTTGCAATGAAGTTGCACATATAGGAGGAATACTTGATAACTCAAGCACATCTTGAGATTTCCACACCAAAAGCAGCTGCAGCAATTTAAAGCATGATTCATCTTCAAAAATATGTGTCTTCTACAATTTGGACTTCATTTCTATCAAAATAGTACAGCAGCTCCTTGAAATCTGTAATTCCATTAAACTCAGGGCAACATGGCTGGTTTAAGCCTGAGATTTTCACTTCCTGAAACAAAAGCCCTTCCTTTCCCCTGTAGTTTTACATTCAGTATATTAGGATGTTTGATCAGAACAGTAAGAAAGTAGTCTCCTGGGTGCCTGCATGTTGAATAAGTCAGGCCTTTGAGAGCTCTTTAATTCCCCCAACATCTTTGACCTCAAAACATCTCTTTCCCATAACTGTGCCTTCTGACTGCATTAAAATTAAACCTCAATGCATACGTTGCTTTTTTTCTTCCAAATTGGTGATGGTTAAGAGCACAGGCATGAATAATGTTGACAACCATGAGTTCTATTCTAACACCAGGAGAAAGAGCTTTCTTATAAGGCTCAAATCACAAGCACGCCTCATGAATGATGTACACCAGAGCCCTCTTTCACTTTGAATTAATGTTGAAGCATTTCTCTCTTCTTTCCCCGGAGGAGCCCCATTTATAGTAAACATCCACACTTATACCAGACTTCTTAAATTCTTCAACAAAAAGATAGCCCTTGCAAAGCTTTTGTGTTGGAGCTAATCAAGATCAGTTAGATCACTTAGCTGGATGCTGCTGCTTTGTGATATTCTATTTTGCATGTCGGGTACCTGGAATGTCAATCTTAGAAACAAACAGTCTTAATACTGCTGGGTAAATGTGTGTAATGATGACTTTGAAGATTTTTTTTTCTAGTTGGAAATTCACTACGTGCCTTGGTCGTTTTCTTGTGTGGGACAAAATACCCAACATCTGCAATTTTAAGGGGGAGAGGGTTAGTCTGGCTCCCAACTTCCGGGCTCTCAGTTCCCGCACAGTCGGCTGCCTCCAAGACTGTAACAGCAAAGCTGCTCACTTCATGGCTTCCAGGAAGCACAGAGAGAACTGAAGGGCAGGGAAGAGAAATATGCCCTTTCAGATCACACCCTAGTGACCCTCCTCTTCCAACAAGACCACACCTCCTACCAGCTAGTTACTACATCACCTCCATGATTCAGCCATCTTCCAGAAGGCCCTACCTATGAGCATGTGAGGCCTTTGGGGGACATTCTTGAACCAAACCATAACACTATGTAAAGGAAATAAAAGAGAAGCCAGCTATTACAGAAAAGGCAACTAAGAATAACAGAGCTTTCCTCTTATTTATGAGGAAAGCATTACCCTTAGGCTGTATAGAGCACATTTTGTCCAGAGCACAGTTAATTTTTGTGAGCAGTCCATGGATACATTAATAAATGTATTCTTTGCCACTCATATATGTCTATAAATTTATCAATATACAAACATCGGTATACCTTATATTATTTAGGTCTTCTCCACACTTAGTTGCATTTAGACCATGTCATCTCTTCAGGGTGAGAGGTAAATTCAGTAGTCATGTTTTCTGCTGACTTCTTTTTCTAAAAATTTATCTTAAAGAAAAGAAGGAAAACATATTAACAAACAGACATCCATTTACAAAACAGCAGAAGAGTAACATAAGTAATACTGAATTTCAGACAAAGTGATAGAAAATTAACAATGGTTGTTGTATTACATACTGATATCTTCAAAGTGGTTTCTCAGGAAACCGAATAGAGACACGCAAGATTGATCAAATAATTAATCATTAACTGTTCCTTTCATAAAGTGAGAGAAGTCAGTAGTACAACTATGTTAGCTATCCTGTATATACATATATACATAATTTCCCCTCCTTTTCTGCTGACTTCTTCTGGAAGTTGCTGTGTATATTGCTTAGGCTTCTATAGAGGAAAAGAAATACATACAAAATTGTGTGAGGGGATTTATTAGATAGGATCACAGGTGGGAGAGACCACAATGGCTCTCTCCATGCTGGACAGCCAGAGGATCCAGTCGTGGCTGGCAGTAAGCTGGAAGCCACAGAACAAGCGGGATCAAGGATGCAGTGCTGGTCTGAGAATGAAGGCCTAGCAGCTCCCTGAAGAGCTGCTGGTGTGAGTCTAATCTGAAAGGCTGAAGAAGCTGGAATCCGATGGGCACTGGCAACAAGAGCAGCAAAAGATGCATCTGCTTAAGCTGATAGAGCTTTTCAAACACAGGCTGACTTCCTCCTCTTTTATTCTACCCAGACTGTGAAACTATTGTATGACAGCACCCACAGTCAGGGTGGATCTTCCCCTCTCAGTTCGCTGGGCTACATGCCAATCATTTCTGGAAACACCCTCACAGACACACCCACAGTTATGCTTTACTAATCTAGGCTTTTCACGATCAACAAGTCACACTGTGGTTTTGCTTTATGAATTAAAATGCTACATTACTAGCTATATTGATGGTCATAAATGTGAAATACTAATTTTGCATTTTACATTTTATTAAAGGGCTTAGCTTTATTTAATGCTTTCCCCCTTGAATTTAACTTTATTTGGTATAACATTTTTGCTACTGGCTTCCCTGTGGTTGGTAGACTTTTGCCTATTCCTTTATTTCTCATCTTTCTAAATTACTTTGTTTTCACTGTATCATACACACTTGCACACACATATGTAGCATTTGCAGGTCTATTCACAACATATTTTAGATGTACTGTTTTGAAGTGTTATAATAATACAGTGCGAATGCATAGACTGGTATTCCAAAGATTGGGATTTCAGATCCAGGCCTGGCACATTTTAGTTCTGTGACTCTGGATAAACCACTTCCTCTGTTGGGGCCTCAGTATCCTTATTTGTGAAAATAGGTGGTGAGGTATAATTTAAAGGTGTTCCCCATCTCTGATATTTTATGATTGTGTAATTACTTTCAGAGATTTCATATCATTCTTAGGATCATTACTAATCATACCCAACATCTTCCCTTGCATGTAGATTTTACTTTTTGAAACAAATAAAATTTATCAGAGCTAACATTTATCAGGTTAATATCATACATGGCAAATGCAGATGATACTGTCTTTAAAACTTGGAATTATAATTGGCTTCTTCCCCATCTTTATTTATATATATTAAGCTTTAAATAGTGGAAAATCCAACACAAACTGGCTGTCTTGGTTACTTTTCTCTCGTTGCTGAGACAAAATACCTAACGCCAAAATTAAGGAAGGAAAGGTTTATTTCGCTTACAGTTTGTAGAGTTTTCAGTCCATACTTGGCAGGTTACAAAGCAGAGTGGCACATGGCAGAGGGCTACAGCTCATGGCAGCAGAGCACAGCAAAAGCAACAAACACAAAAAGCCAGGAATGGCCTCAAGCAGCCTCTTCCTCTCCCTTACATATGCAAACTATCCACCCCAGGGCAGGTGCAGCTCTCACACCCATAATCAATCAAACTCTAAAAGCTTGCCCCAGGACCACACGAGGCTTTGAGGGGACACCCAGACACAAACCATAACACTGGCTTAAGCAAAGAGAAAATGATTGGTTCATATATACAAAAAGTGCAGATTTTGGCTTCAGGCACAGTTTGATTCAGCAACACAAATGATGTCATTAGAAAGCACACTTGACTATCTTATCTCACTAAGCTGCCTGCTCCATTTGGCTTCATTCTTAGGCACATTCTGTTTTGGATATTAACATCACTGCCAACAGTTCAAAGCTCATCTTTGTTCTTCTCCGAAACTCTCATAGAAAGTGAAATTCACTTTTCCTGACAACTGCAAGAGTCTCAGAAATGATTCTTATTGGCCATCTCTTAGCCATTTGCTTATCACTGAGTCAATCATAAAGATCAAGAGGATGCTCTGATTGGTTAAGCCTGGGTCATAGCTCACCCTTGGAGTGAAGGAAATTCAGTTGCACTTGAATCATATGGCCTGCACATGGTAGAACAATGCTTCTCCAAATAAAATCATTGTACTGATGGCAAAAATATATAATGGAGATTGAGGTGGAGGAGAGATGTAACTACTTTATTGGACAAATAATTGAAATATTTCCTCTTTCCTGTTTTAGCTGCAATATGGCATTTACTATCTCATAGTATAGCATCCTGATTTCCTTCCTTCCAGTCATTCTTCTCTCAAAAACATTTTAGGCATTGCCATCACATTAATCTCCCTGAGGCCTTGTCATGATCATTTCAGTCTTTAGCTCAAACTCTTTCAGTAATTCTATTCTATCAAAATACACATTCTTCATTCTGGCACTTATGATCTTTCCATAATCTGACTTTTGTATAACTGTTCATGGTTATCTACCTACCTGCACTTGTTCCACGTACCAACTAACCTGAATTGCTCTCAACTAATTCTTATTTCAGATGATGAGGCAGATGCTGCTGTTATCTCCGGTATCCTGTGGTCTCCTTCCTTTTAGTGCTAGAACCATTGATTTTTTAGGGGTGCATGGCTACCCAGTAGAGACTATACTTAACCAGGAGGGTTTAAGCGTAGTTATATATGCAACTTCTGCAAATATCCTTAAGAGGTATGTTCCTTTCTGTTATTTTTTCCTGGCTGGAAAAGGATTATGATGGGTGGACCTTGAGCAGCTATAATGAATCATGAAGTAGAAGCTGCATATTCAGGATAGTAAAGCTACATGATAGAAAGAGTTTCTGTTAATCAGAAAGCAACAATACCTGGACTGCCTACACTTGCAGGGGAGGAATAAACTTTATTTTATTTAAACTATGTTACTTTGAGGTTTTAACTGCTATAGAAATCAATCCTTCCCTGAAAATCTTTTGTTTAGGATAGCTTTTTGGTTGCCAGTATCAGGAATTCATTCAAAGCAAATAGGTAGAGTTGTTTTAGGAATAGAAAGATCTCTCACAGAACCTGTATGAAGGAATGAAGACTCAGGAATAGACTGGAAACTCAGAAATAAAATGCTCTGCAGAAGATAGGGAATCCTCTCATTGTATCTCATCTTTCCTTTTGCTTCTTGCTGGAGATTATTTCTATACCTGGGGTAGAGAAACAACAAACAAGTATTTGTTTAATGAGTGGCAGTTTACATGTGAAAGAGATAAGTAAGTGAGATAAGAAGATAATTCATAAAACATTTTCTTATATGTATATAGTTTGTTAAGGTGATTTTTTAAAAGGCCACCATACCTTTTTAAGAGTGTAAGCCCTCTGTTAATTCTTTCTAAGCCCTCCATTTTTTTATTTGTTTATTCTAATATCACAGAAGGGGCCAAATATGCAAAGCTGTCTATAATTGATCTAATGAAAGATGTTATAAAGACTGCTCCCCCCCCCCCCCCGTATGTGCTAGGAATTGAACTCAGGACCTCAAGCTTACTAAGTATATGCTCCACCCTTAAGCTACATACCCAGCCTCTAGCACCGTTTCTGTTCAGGTGTTACAAAAGCAAATCTTTATGGGAATGAAAGCTGTAGCCCACAAGTAACTATTCTAATAGCCAAGAAAGTGATAGATTATTGTTGAAACAATATCTATGTTTTTCATTTTTATGTTTTTCTTTTTACTATTTGGGTTCCCGATCTTACCTAGTTTGTGCTCCTAGGGTTTTTTATGTTCTTGCCAGCTCATTGGTATGTTTGACAAAATGTTTTATACATTCTGCCCAGTACCTTTGGTTGCTTTGGGTGCGGGAGTCTGTCAGTCTCTAGTCTGCCACACTGCTGGATATGAAAATCCAGTATGCTTTTCAAAGCCCTTCACTGGTTTGTAAAGTATTAACCTGCATTGCAAAGACCAGGACCCTAACTCTGGTGGTCTAGGCTCCCTGCCTGTAAATATGAAGAATAGCTACCTTTTCACCTGTGTCAAGCTAGTTTTTGTAAAGGACTCTGTTATGGTTTATGTCTGGATGTCCCTCCTGACGCCGCCCTGAGGCCTCATGCATTCATAGGAGGGACTTTTGGGAGGTGATTGGTCATAGGGGTATGACAGTCATCAGTGAACTAGTCCACTCAGGAGTTTATAGCTAAGTGTGATGTTGGAAGGTAAAGCCTGTTTGGAAAAGATAGGTCATTAGGGGCATGACCTGGAAGGGTCTATTTCTCTCCATTGTCCCTCGATTTCTCTCCCTCTCTCTCTCTCTCTCTCTCTCTCTCTCACTGTTTCCTACTCTCATGCTATGAGCTGCTTCTCCTCTGTCATGCCATCCTGCCATGGAGCCAGCTAACTGTGGGCTAAAATTTCTACAAACTAGAAGTTCAAACCAAAATAGACTCTTGCTCATGAGAGTTGTGGTGTTGGGTACTGTGTCCCACTGATGAGGGAAGTAACTAAGACAGATTTTGGTCTTAGTTACTAAGACAGAGAAGTAAGGTCATTACTGTGACTGCCTGGTCATATGGTTCACAACCTTTTAGAACTGGGTAACTGGAGGAGTTTGGAAAGCTTTGAAGAAGCTTGCTGGAGAATTAGCCCTAGAATCCTATTCTATTCAATCCAATCCTATTCAACCAAGCTTAATGGCAGATTCTGGTCAGAGCTCAGAAGAACAGAACACTGACAAAAAGGCAGTCAGAAAAGACCAGGCTCAGGAGATTTCAGTTGGGAACAAGGACTCCATTACTAGTTGGATGCCAGGGCAGGTCTGTTGTGCTTTAGCAGAACATTTGTCTACATTTTGTTTCTATCCTGAGAGTTAAGGGAGATGAAGATTAAGCCCAGAAAACCAATTAATCTCTCTGAGGAAATTTTAAGGCAGTCTAATATTGGCAGGAGTATTGTTGGGGGCTTTTAGCCAGCTCTATCTTGAGATTCAAGAGCAAAAGACAAAGTTGCATGATTTAATAAGTTTTGAATTTGGCCAGAAAGGAAGCTCCTATAAAGTTGAGGCCTGCAAAGATGATGCAGAAGAGAGCCTGACCGCTAAAAAGAGTAGTATTAAAAAGAAGCCAAGTATTTTACACCAAGACAGTAAGAAAAATGCCTTAAGGGAATGTGAAGAACCAGCAAGGCCCCACAGTTTGCAGGCCCAAAATTATAAAAGAGAAGGACTTTGCTTTGAGAAGAGAGCCCCAGAGCCCTCTGTTGGAGGAGGGTCACCTAGGAAATTGATTCCTTGGTACTCAGTTGACCACGCTCAGCCATCCAGGCACGTGGAGCCCTGTGCAGCTTTGACACAAAAGGACTCAGCTATTTTAAAGTGTCTGACAGGTGGCAGCAGACGATGTGGTACATGCAGGATGCAAGAGTCGTAGGGTCATTTCTTTCTTTCTTTCTTTCTTTCTTTCTTTCTTTCTTTCTTTATTTTTTTTTTTTGGTTTTTCTCCGGTACCGGGAACCGAACTCATGACCTTGCGCTTGCCAGGCAGGCGCTTTGCCGCTGAGCTAAATCCCCAGCCCCCGTAGGGTCATTTCTTACCTTTCTTGTTGCTGGGACAAAATACCTGACACCCACGAGTTTATGTTAGCTTACAGTTTGTTGAGGTTTCAGCCCATAGTTGGCTGGCTCCAAGCAGGGAAGAATGGAAGAAGGGCATGGTAGAGGAGAAGTCCATGGAAGGGAAGGCAGGAAATGGAGCAGCAACCTCTCTTTCCCTTTTACGGGCTACAAGCTTTTGGGTGATGCCATCCACACCTAGAACTATGATAGATCAATCAATGGACTCATTTGGTTATCACACAGCCTCAGTTCATATTCACATACCCAAAATCTAGCCACCTCTGAAAGCTCCACTGATGAGAGCATGCGGCTTGGGGAGATGGGATGTCTAGATACAAGCCATAACAGTCAGGGAGGCCTCCACCCAGACTTCAGAAAATGGCCTAGGAGGTCAGGGAGTGTGCCATGAGTGGGCAGTGTGTGAAACTGTAAGAGTGAAGCCAAAAGTAGGGACCCCCAGCATGTTGGAAAAGCCAGGAACACGAATGTCTGAGGAAAGGCATAAGGAGTGAGCAAAGCTGGTCTGAGGGAAGTCATGAGGGCTACAGTGACCACCAGCAGTGTTGGAGGGGCAGGGTCGCACAGGCCCTTTGGAGTTCACATGTGTTATGGTTTGTGTCTGGGTGTTCCCCCAAAGCCTCATGCAGTCATGGGGCAGGTTTTTAGAGTTTGATTGTTTATGGGTGTGAGAGCTGCACCCACCTGGGGTGGACAGTTTGCATATGTAAGGGAGAGGAACAGGCTGCTTGCAGCCATTCCTGGCTTTTGTGCTTGTTGTTTTGCTGTGTTCTGCTGCCATGAGCTGTAGCCCTCTGCCATGTGCCACTCTGCCTTGTAACCTGCCAAGTAAGGACTAAAACCTCCACAAACTGTAAGCAAAATAAACCTTTCCTTCCTTAATTTTGGGCATCAGGTATTTTGTCCCAGCAACGAGAGAAAAATAACCGAGACAGAATTTAGCACCAGAGGAGTGGGGTCCTTGCTGTGACTATACCTGACCATGTGGTTCAAGAGCCTTGGGAAATGGCTTGTGGGAAGTGTTCGGAAAGGTTCAGAGATGTCACCTGAAAGAGAAGCACTAGAACGCCTTCAGCTGTTCTGTCTGGGAGATTCTGGTCAGAGCTCCGAAGACCAGAAGGCTATTAGAAATCCTTCAGGTAAAGACCAGGTTCAGGAGGTTTCTGTTGGGAAGAAGGACTCCATTGGTTGTTGGACTCCAGACCATGTATGTTATGGCTTGGCAGAAAGTTTGTCTGCATTTTGCTCACGTCCAGAGACTTTGCCTAAGACTGAGATTAAGGGCTGCAGCGGACTGGTTAATCTGGCAAAAGAAATTTCAAGGCAGTCAGATGTTGGGGAAGTGGCATGGCTATTGTTGGGGGCTTTTAGCCAGATTTATAGTGAGAATCAAGCACAAAGAGCCCAGCAAGGTGATTTAAAATGTTGTGAGTTTTGCCAGAAAAGAAGCTCCCGTAAAACTGTGGACTGCAAAGGTAGAGCTGAGGAGATCTCCATTGCTGAGAAGGAGCAAGAGAATGAAAAAGATGGCCTGAGGGCATCACAAGCAGCAAGTCTCCACCCTTTGCAGCCTCAAAACTGCAAAGGTGACAGACGTTGCCTTGAGAAGAAAGCTGCTGAGCGCCATGTTCCAGAATGGTGGCGGCAGCTGCACCAGGTTCCAGAACGGCAGCAGCATAGAGAATCTGCTCCTCAGAATTGGATTCAGAGTGCCCAGCGATCCAGGCACTCCACCCCTATGGCCAAGAGAGAGGAAAGATCGGCTACTGCTCCAGGTGGCAGCAGACCTTGGCATCATCCCCATGGCCCTGGCTTTAGGTGCATGGAGAATGCAAGAGTTCTGAGGTTAAAGAAGCTTCCACCCAGATTTCAGAAGGCCTGGGAGGCCAGGCAGTGTGCCCCTGAGAGGGCAGTGTGTGAAGCTGTGAGTGTGAAGCAAAAGGTGTACTGGAGACCTCAGAAGTTTAGAAAAGCCAGGACAGTGGATCATCTAAGGAAAGCTGCAAGGAGGGAGCAAAGCGGGCCTAAGAGAGAAGCCATGGAAGCTGTAACCACCAGAAGTGCCACAGGGGTGGACTCATGCAAGCCCTTTGGAGCTCACGGTGTGCCACAGACTGCTTCAGATGCTGGTCACGGAATTACAGGACATAACATTAGCCCTGCTGGATTTTGGACTTGCTTTGTTCCCAATGCTCTGTGCCCCCGTTTGTACCTTTTGGAATTGTACTGCTTATTTTGTGCCATTGAATGTTGGAAGTGTTTAACTTTTCATTTGTACAGGGTCTCACAGCTAAGAGTTTGCCTTACATCTCGGAGACTTGGGACTTGGACTTTTCAGCAATGCTGAAACTGTTAGGACTTTGGCAACTTTTGCAGATGGACTAAATGCTGTTTGTATAAAGGGATGGGCATGAGTCTTTGGGTGGCCAGGGGTGGAATGTTATGGTTTGTGTCTGGGTGTCCCCCCAAAGCCTCATGCGGTCATGGGGCAGGCTTTTAGAGTTTGACTGTTTATGGGTGTGAGAGCTGCACCCACCCTGGGGTGGATAGTTTGCATATGTAAGGGAGAGGAAGAGGCTGCTTACCACCATTCCTCTCTTTTGTTTTTTGTTGCTTTGGCTGTGTTCTGCCACTATGAGCTGTAGCCCTCTGCCATGTGCCACTCTGCCTTGTTTTTTTTTTGTTTTGTTTTTTTTTTTTTTTTTTTTTTTTGGTTTTTCTCCGGTACCAGGAACCGAACTCACGACCTTGTGCTTGCCAGACAGGCACTTTGCCGCTGAGCTAAATCCCCAGCCCCTGCCACTCTGCCTTGTAACCTGCCAAGTATGGACTAAAACCTCCACAAGCTGTGAGCGAAATAAACCTTTCCTTCCTTAATTTTGGTGTCAGGTATTTTGTCCCAGCAACGACAGAAAAGTAACCAAGACAACATCTTACCACAGACTGCCATGGGTGCTGGACATGGAACTACGAGATCTAATGTTTGCCTGCTGGATTTAGGTCTTGCTTTGGTTCTATTCTTTTCTCTCCCATTTCTCCCTTTTGGAATTGGAATGTTTACTCTGTTTGTGTGTTGGCAATGTTAAGCATTCTTCTCATTTTTACAGGGCCTCACAGCTAAGAGTTTGCTTTAAATCTCAGACTTTGGACTTGGACTTTTCAGCAATGCTGAAACTGTTAAGACTTTGACAACTCTTAGAGATGGACTAAATGCATTTTGCAAAAAGAGGTACACCTGAGTCTTTTGAGGGCTGGGGTGGAATGAAATGGTTGATAACCAGATGTCCCCCCAAAGGCTCATGGACACATACCTGGGCTTTTGGGAGGTAACTGGATCATGGGGATGTGGTACTTATCAGTGGATTTGTCCACTGATGCGTTTATAGCTAAATGTGCTGTTGGGAGGTGAAGTCTGGTTGGAAGGGGTGGGTCACTGGGGGGTGTGGCCTGGAAGGGTGTATCTCCTTCCCTCCTCCCTTTACTTCTCTCTCTGCATAAAGACAGACAAGTGTGAGAGTATGGCAAGACTAGGGAGCCCACAAAGTTTGCTGTGTGCTTATTTATTCCCTTTTGGAATTGGAATGTTTACTCTGTTTTTGTTTGTAAACACAAATTGTTATTAACATATTTGTCTCCTTATGTGTTATGGCTTGTGTCTAGATGTCCCCTGAAAGCCCTCATGTGGTCATAGGTGGGTTTTTTTTCAGAGGTGGCTCAATCTAAACTGTGTGATTGATTAGTGGTGCAATGCTAGGATTAAGGATGGGTGATTATTAAATCAGTCCACTGATTGATTTAGCATTGCCCTAACCCTGGTAGCATGGATGCAATATAAGGGACAGAAAGAGTATTGTCTTGTCTCTTCCTCATTGCTTTGCTACCTTCTACCTGCCATGAACTGTTTCTCTTCTGCAATGCCTGTCTGCCACTCCATCTTGCCTCGGAGCCAGCCCATTATGGACTGAAACCTCTACAAACTGTGAGCTAACCCATTACCCCTTTAACTTTGGGTGTCAGGTATTTTGTCACAGCAATGAGAGAAAAGTAACTAAGACACTTCGGTTAGCCCCTGGGTGGAGGGGACTGTTTGTAATGTTTTTTTTTTTTTGCCTCCACGTCTAGCAGAAGGCACCACAGATGCTAGACTGCAATAAATGTTTGATGAGTGAACGAGCAACTGAGGAAGATCATAATTTAGAGGGCAGTGAATGAGACAAAATAGATTTTAGAATTATTTGGAAGATACAATGGATAAGACATGGTAATACATAAGAGATGGAATAAAAACATAAAAACATGTTAGACTGGAATAAAACGGAAGTTTTAGTTTTCTGTTGGATTACAGGTGGATGTCAACAGTAATTAATAATAATAGCTGGTATCCACTCTGCCCTGTAGTACACTGAGTTTTTATATGTATTAAATCACTTAAATTCTCAACAACTCAATGGTTTTTTTTTTTTTTTTTTGGTTTTTCTCTGGTACCAGGAACCGAACTCACGACCTTGCGCTTGCCAGGCAGGCGCTTTTTGCCGCTGAGCTAAATCCCCAGCCCCTCAACAACTCAATGTTGTAGGTATTGTTATTTTAGTACTAATGAGGACACTGAGATGAGCGTTTAACTTGACCAGGGTCACAGAGATCGTAGGTGGCAGGTTCAAATCCAAGAATTCTGATTCCAACAGAATACACAGTAACCTGCGTTTCTTTACCTTCTGTAAGACGAGCTCAATGCATAGAATAATGGTCCTGTTCCATGTGTGTCACACAGCTTGCAGCTCTTTTAGTAAACTTTGTCTCCAAGTTTCTAAGATTGTGATGGTTTATCTCCTGTCAGGTTTCCAGGTGCGCGGTTCCGTCTGTAATTTCACTTTTCCCATGGGCAGGTCTTAAAGTGGGGTGGGAGTTGGACAGAGCAGCGCACACAAAGGCCGGGAGGCGGCAGGCCCGCGGAGGCGTTCTGGAACGCACGGCGGCCGCGGGAACGACGCGGGCGGGCTCCCGGCACGCTCGCCTCCCGTCGCGCCGGCACACGCGTTACACGGTGGGAAGGCGCGCGGCAGCCTCGCTGGGCTGCCCCCGCCCTCCAGCAGGAGAAGGCGCCTCCTCCGAGTGCCGGCCGGCCGCCGGCGCGCGAAGGCGTCGCGAGGCCGCCTTCAGCGCCCAGGAAACACCGCTCCCGCAGCCGCACGTCGTTCCAGGGAAACCGTTCTCGGAGGCACCTGGGGCCGAACCAGCCCGGCCTGGCGCCAGGGGGCGCGGAAGCGCGTCGCCCCTGCGGCCCCACTTGCCGCGGCCCCGCCCTCTCCCCGCCCCGCCCCCTGGGAACCTGCCGCTCCCGGCTCCCGGCTCCCTTCCGGCGCACGCGCAGTCCCTCTCTCCTTCGGCGGCGGCTCCCAGCGCAGTGCGCCCGCCGCGACGGAGTCGGAGGGCTCGGCCCGTGGTCTCCCGGCTCTCGCCTTTCCGGCGCGCTCCGTGCTGCTCTGCGAGCGTCCCTGAGTGCGGGCGGCAGCCGCGGCGGGTTCCTCAGGTGAGTGCGGCGGCGGGAGGGAGAGGCCGGGGCGTGGAGC